TCAGCTCTCGTTTCTCTTCTGCACTACCTCTTCTGGTGGGTTTTCCGTAGGAAGGGAAGATCTAGCACCAAACCGGATTAAGCCGTTAAGTGATGAGAGTCTATTGATTAGCAATATATTCAAGCAATACTTTATGGGGTTAAAGAATTACAGAATAGCCTAGGTAAAATATTCTCAAACTCTGGGGAAAGGATGATAAATAAAGAACTACTGTCAATGCTGCCAGCTGGGAGAAAAACAAGAAGAGAATTACAAACCCACTGGGCAACAGAGTCAAACAGGAAAAAGTGGGTTGTGAAAAACATTCAGAACCTGACATTTTTCATCTTAAGAAACACAGGTGCAACACACACAATAATAAATATATCTAAATCCAATGGAATAGTAAATGTTTTTAAAATGGTAAGAATGACAATTCTGGGTTAGTTCACTTTACAGATAAATTCTACACCATGATAGGTGACATCTGGGTATGGCAATGGTGATTTAGGAAACACTATGTAGAGGAGTCAGTGTAGCAGCCATACAAATAACTTGGATGAGAAATAATTTGAGATAATAAAAAACTGGCCAAATTTTACTTAACATTTCTCTGTCCTTGCCAAAGATGCTGGTTACTAGACAAGGAAAATCTTGTGTAATATGAACAGGATAACACTTATATTTGGATCCCTTGTAAATAGCTTCGGCTGACATTTAGGCATCAAGTAAAACAAGTCAGACAGACATGGTTTTATACCATGCCAAGGGAACTTTAAATGTAGAATTGTCTCTCACTGGAAGAACAAGGATGTAGAAAAATATGGGCAGGATATTAACTAATTCAGCTAGAGCTGTCAGTATTGTGGAGAAAATTGCATGAGTCTTTTTAAAAGAGCTTACTGCTAGGAAAGTAGGTGTATTGCTCTTCTGAGTTTTCTGTAACATCCGTGGAAGTGATTGTTACCAAGAAAGTACCTTTCCTTTTGTCAGATCTTCTGACACATACTCAGCAAAGGGCAGGGAAGGCCAAAGAAATACCCTGGTGTAACTTATTAGTGGGTTAACTCCATGTTAATTTGTGGGATAATGTGTTTTCTAGGACAAAGTTGGCTGCCAATTTCATTAGCAGCAAGAACTAGATTTTACTATAGCAACAGAAATCTAGTCAAGTCTTGAAACAGTCTCCTGAACTAACTCCAGATTTCAGCTGCAAGAATAAATGCAGGAAAGGATTTTCTCCATGTGCCACTGACAACTGACGTGCTTTTTCCTTGATTTCTGGTGCACAATATTTGTCGTATTTTCTTCAGAGATGTGAAAGAAATGAATCTTCTGCACGTAGCTTCCACAAGGAACATTTTGTTGCTAGGTCTCAGTTTTTTATTTCTAATTATCTAACTGCTTCTCCTTATTCTTCATGATAGTTTCTTTAGCTCTCAGTTAATACTTTCACCTAGAACATTGACGATGTTCCATTCTTTTCACTGTACGCTAAATTCTATATGTAGCAATTTCATTCCAATACATCCCCATTCACTAACCTCTTCTTAGTCCTCCAACACCCTCTTTGTAAATGTATTGCTGTTTTATCCCACTTGATGCTACACCCTCCTTAAAATATCCTTCAAGGCAGGGAAGGAAAACAGTAACTATTTCCTTGTGTTCTCTTCTATTCCCCAAATTCTGCACAGGGTGGTCTGATGGGGAGAAGAGGACAAAGTAGCTCCTGTGTCCTTATCTATTAGGGGAAAACCAAAAGATCATACCAGTGAAGGATGTAGGTGTTTCCTGAGTTCAAAATCCTAATAGGCAGAGCAATTCCATAAATAATGGAGAGTTTGGAGCAATTTCAGCCTTGCCTCTTCCTCCTCTGCTATCTTCCTTCCTTCCTTCCTTCCTTCCTTCCTTCCTTCCTTCCTTCCTTCCTTCCTTCCTTCCTTCCTTCCATTCCAGGGCCAGTAACAGCCACAATTATTGGTGAGAAGAGTAAATGGATAGTTAGTCCCATGTACTTATGGCCATGGCAATGGCCTCTTCCAGAACAGCTAGACTTGATGCAGAGTCGGAGACCTATTGTAGTTTCAGTCATTGATGACTCTGAGAACTACTGCCCTGGGCTTTAGACAGCTCTAACCAGACGAATGTTTTCTAGCACTTGCTAAAGCTGAGTGCACCTCACCCCTAGAGCAGTCATGCTTCTCCTGAATACCACCAGCACCTCTTCAAGGTGTCTTCCAGCATGTGAGGGCCACTTCCTGAAGTCACAAGACTGCTTACCTAAGAAGAATATGGCAACATAGGCAAAAAATCCCTACTAGGGATCAGCACTTCAAAAGTGTATTTGCAAAAGGTACAACACATCACATGGAAAGCCCGTGAGGTGAAGGCATGTCCACTCATGTAAAAAACCCAAAAAGCAAAACCACAACTATTACTTATCATTGAAAAACCGCAAAGCACAATGCCAATATATTTCAACATTAAATACGACTGTGATAGCATATGTCTTTAAACAGATATCAGGGCAGCTCTTCAACAAATATAAACAAAAAAGGAAAAGACAGTTACAGTCAATGCTTATTTTTTAAAATTTTACCTAAGGGAGTTCCCACTACTCATGAACCGAGAAAGCACAGATTTAAGAATCAAGATCTGTT